ATAATACCATCAGGCAAAAGCTCCGCTTTGAGAGTCCCTTTCCCCTCCCATAATGCCTCAGAACTGTCCAATCACTCATCAGGATTTGCTCTCGCTAGGTCCTCTGAGTCAGACGCAAGCCACAGGGACGTAGACTGCTCCCCACAACACGGTTACACGAATGGATGAGGGGGGAAACTGCTGTAGGTGAGGGTGGTAAGTGGCGTAGATGGAGAGTTTTGGAAGTAGCTCTGGGTTTTTTTTGTTTGTTTGTTTTTTTCTTTTTCTTTTTTGGTTGGTTAAAAGTTGTGACATTGGTTTTGGTTGCAGTTTGGTTTCAGTTCAGGAGTTTGGACTAAAGCAATGTTGGCTCACAATGCCTTTGGTAGTCAGAGCTGCATCTCAAAGAGCCACTCCACATTTTGGTTTTGAGATTAAGCAAAAGGAGGAGTATCAAAAACAACAACAACAAATAATAATAATAATAATAATATCAATGCAACAGTGTCAGTCATTAATCTGTCTCTGTTGAACTTGGAAATAAAGTTTGCAGCGAGTCGCCACCTGTTCGGTTTCTGACTCGGCCCCTTGGCACCTGCAGATGATTGACAGCTCTGCGGGTCGGAGTTCGGCACAGGAATGACGGAGGGGGGGTCACAGGCTTAGAGGTGGGTGTCACAGGGAGCAAGGACATGCGTTGGCACCTGAAAGGACCAACAGCAATACTTTTCTATGGCTCCACAGTTTTTTTGTGTTAAAGCAAGAGAGGGGCTACATATTCTTTCATTTTTTTCCTCTTTCTCTTTTTCTTTCCAGAGGTTTTGGTCCTGTCTTTGAGAAAAAAAAGTCCATCTGAGGTATCAATACACAATGAAGAACCTTTTTAGTTTGTTTTCCTTTTGTTTGTTTTTTTCCTTAAAAATGCATAAATGCAATACAGAGACAAAAAAGTATCAAAATAGATCTAGCTAAGATAAATATACAAACAGGTGTTTCCTAAACCACTGATCTAAATTCAATTATTTTCTTTTTTTTTGTTGATAATACACTTTAAAAAAAAATGCGTCCCAGACGTTTTATGAAGAACTGAAAAATGGAAACAATAACAAAAAAACAAAAAAAAGTTTAAACCGAGATACCTGCAGCACTTAATGTGATAAATACATATATTCAGCATTAGCGGTACAGTATAGAAATCCAGGTTGAAAACTTTACAACAGTTCAACAGGTGCAGAAAATTGGAGAAAAAAAACAAAGGCAAAAGAGAAGCATGGGAGAGACGAACCAAGCATTAATATACAAGAATGCATCATGTTATGCCAAGCTAACAAAAAGCAGTGTTGCACAGCTGACCTGTGAACAATCTACAGCTTTACAAAAACGGCTTCGTTTACAGGTGTACCTTAAAGCACGACTTGGGAATCGTCTACGTTCTGGATGCAAGGAGTTCCTCCTGGCTTGGATCTGGCTGTTAGTGGTGACGTTTAGAGATTCAATGACCTCTTGAGTGTTGAGCAGCTCTTGGGATATCTGGATGTTTTTGAGCCTTTGTTTGAGCCAGTTTTGGTGCGCACCTGTGTGTGCGTGCGTTAGTGTTTGTTGTTTTGTAGCCCATTACCACCTGTGACAATGAGAGGAAGCCGCTAACAACCAGCGTATCAGGAGATATTCAACTAAGAAGCTTTTCCTTTATAAACCTCAGTGATAAATCGGGTGTGGAGAAGAAAATAACGCAGTTGGCAAGCACTTCTCAACGCTTTTTGAGATGCAGCGAGTGCTTCAGATATGGTTAACGGAGAGGTAGTCATTCTTAACTATATAAAAAGTGAAACAGCATTACTTTTTTTTAGATGGGATGATGGGAAAGGGAGTCACCGGCTATTGTTGATTTCCTTTGTGTACGGAGCTGCACAATTATCAAACTGCAGTTATCACGATCACAACAGATGATGCTATGTTTGCTAGGCTATAACATTTCCCGTGGCATGCATTCAAACTCTGCTTATTAATGAGCTTTAATCAGCTGGCTGAACTTTCATCGTTTTCAATGACCACAATCGGTAAGAGTGACTGGAACATTGTGACGGTGGAAAAGGAAAAAGAATAGCAAGGGAAAACGTGTTTCAGTTGCAATTAACGTCGCCATCACAATATTCAACAACAACATCACAACCGGATGTCTCCAAATATCAGGCAACCCTTTTTGTAAAGTATGTGTAACAACAGTTTTGGCATTCTTAGTATTATCGTTGAGGAAGAGTAAAGAGCAAGTGTTAAAGAGAGATCAGATTCCCACTGGCTATCTGTCGAACAGTTTTGAAAAGGAGGTAGTAATATTTTTTGGTTATTTTATCTCTTTTCAACATCTCTGCCTGCCAGGTATGTGTTTTGCACTCAGTCTCTTTTGCAACAGGAAACAGTCCTGTTTTAACTCAAAGTCATTGGAAATATTATTTTGAAAAAAAAAAAACAAAAAAAAAAACAAACAAACATCTGAAGTTCAGTTCAAAAATAAAATACCCCGAAAATCACCGAAGACAATAACTGTATCCCTTGGTTGTTTCCACATTACATTAAATGTTCCCTCTTTGCAACACATATTCAGAATAATTTCTCTTTGTCCAAAGATGTGACTTTTTGAAGCCTGACACAGTACACTTCCTCCTCTTGTGGAGGAGGTTCCTGTTGAAAGAGTTTTTTTTTTTTTTTTGTCTTTTCTCGATTGCATACCTTCTGATATTTAAAACAAAACTCAGAGAAAGTCTTTTGTTTGGGTCTGCTCAAACGTCGCAGTAGTACTGAAACTTAAAATGGGTCAGTATAGAGGCAGGGTTTCGTCTATAAGTGCTTTTTACTTTCTCCTCTCTGCATTGTGTCTTTCAGAGGAACTGTGCAAGGTTTGTTTTTAATTCATATTTGGCCTCATACCTAATTGAAGTAATTCTGAAATGTACCTAAAATCCCAGCTTGCTTTGCACACTTTGGTTTCTGGAATGAAGAGCACTGTAAGTCTAAGAGTTTTAGGACAACACTCGTGTGAATGTCATTACAGGAACGAAAAATGCCATGGTTACTTGTCTTTTGGCCCGTTTTCTGAAGGAAAAAAAATAAAAATTAAAAAAGAAGGGCAAAATAAAGGACAGGGTTTTTGGTTTTCTACTTATTTCTTTGGTTACCTGTAACAAAAAATAAAACGGGAACATGATAAGAAGATATTAGATTAAAAATAAATGCTTAAATTTGGTATGTAACTGTAGAGAAAAGTTACGCTTCGACGCCTACAAGAAACAATAATAATAATAATAATAATAATAAAAAAAAAAAAATCTAGCGTGCTATTTTCTTGAACACAAACGCACACAGTGAATCGCAGATAACTTCTACACAGTAACAATTACAACCATAGAGCTTTGAATTGAAGCTGAGCAGAGTTGCCACATTTGGTGTCCCACAGAAGGAATATCTCCCCTTACTTCTTCTTAATCAATTTGGACACAGCTCTGGGCAGAACCTTTGTGGGATGAGGTATTCTCTGACTGCAGTAATATATATATATATATTTATATATATATTTATGTTTTTTTTAAAGCATTACAGACACATCTTAAGTAAATACACAACTTAAAAAAAAGAAGAAAAAACAGAAAAGATTGAGTTAAAATAAAAGCAAAGTTTGGCGGTTAATGGCAACTTTTAAGTGCTATTTCCAATTTTCTCTCCTGCTTCATTTGGGATACAAAGGCTGTTGAGGGGCAGGACAGTTGGGACAATACTGCGTTTCTTTTTTTTTTTTTTTAAAATGGGGACTCATTATTTTGCCAATACATATTTGGAATGGCGTGAACAACCAGAGCAAATCAAACAACTTAGAAAAATGAAAAAAACAAACCAAAAAAAACAACAACAACAACAACAACAAAAAACAAACAAACAAACAGACATACATCCTTAGAAGAGCAGAAATCCACAATGGGAATATTGATCATCAAACGTAAACAATAAAAAGTAAAAAGGAAATGACAAAAGCTACCACACATCTTTTTTTTTTCTTATTTCTCAAAATCACAGACAGTTTTTTCTTCTTCTTTTTTTTAGTCACAAAGTTTCTGTAGACACTTCCTCCCTCGTCTCTCACTGCTTCCCGTCATTTCTTCTTCCTCTCCAAAGTGTTCCATGCTCATCTGCAGACAGAGGACAGAAGAAGAAGAAGAAGAAGAAGAAGAAGAAGAGCACCTATTCCTGCAGTCTTCGGGGTGGGAGGGCAGGGGAATGGCGTGGGCTGTAGTAATGGTCGGAAAAACGTCTTCTTTTCTTTAATGTAGAAGTAAATAATAGTAAAAACCCAAAAACAAAACAAAACAAAAAAAAACGTCCCTTAGTGACCGTCGCACTGGTGTTTTGAGGCCTAGACAGAGAGCAGGGCCATGCCGTCGTTCTTCTTCTTCTCTCTCCCTCATCTCAAAGGCCATTGGTTTTGTCTCAATCAAATCAAAGTGTATGAAAAAGAAAGTATCTGACTCCAACGGGGGGAGAAGAGGCGTCCTGCCCCCAGCGACCTCTCCAAATCTATATACACATGATCCTATGTGTTTGTGTACGTCTTGTTCTTTCCAAACACACATCAGTGTTTCTTCTCAACTGAGACCACAGAGAGAAAAGCACCTATGCCAGGTGGTGGTATGAGGAGAGAGAGCTTGAGTCATTGCCTCTTGGGATCTTTTTTATTTTTTTGTCCACCCGCCTCCCCCCTTCCACGCCCTCTGAGACATGTTCTTTTGTTGTTGTTTGTTTTTTTTTTTTTCCGCCGAGACATGGGACATGGTTTGACAGGTAAACAAGTATGCGTGTGTACGTGTGTGAGCGTGCGTGCGTGCGTGCACAGGTTTTGCGAGAGTGTGTACGAGTAAAGTGGTGTTACACCTCTGAGCCAAGTGTTGTAAAAGCAACACCCGGAGGTAAAGCAGTGCTCCACAGTCAGGTTTTTGCGACTGAAAGTATACAAAAGTCATCTAAACCCTGTTTTTTTTTTTGTTGTTTTTTTGTTTTTTTTGAGTTCCTCAATGTCATTCTCTGTTGTTCAAACTTTCTTTAAAACAAACTTAAAAAATAAAAACATTCTCTTTTTTTCCCACTCCCTCTCTTTTCTCTTAAGTGTACGGATGCTGTTTCTCCTCTTCATGCTGATGAGAGGGCCGTAGGACTGATCTGAGAGAAGTCCCGGCCCGTTGATCCATTGGTCAGGCGCGTCCTACTCCAGCTCCTCGGTGGGAAGATCTTCCTCCAGATCGCGTTCGTCGCTTGGCAGTGGCAGGCTGTGTGTGACGCCGGCCAGGAGGGATACTGGTCGGCTGTCCTCTTCCACCTCAGTCGGCTCCTCCTTCACGTGAACCGGGTGGCTGCGCGGCGGAGAACAGAGCCGTCAGTGAGGTGATGCGATGCAAAACACTTCGTACAGCTTCAAAATCACTGGTAGTTCATTTGTGCTGTACCCAGTTTATCAAAGGGCACTTTACGGAAAACATCAACATGTCTAAAGTAAATTCATTTGCAGTGCTTTTACAAAAGTAACATCTGTTGCACTTTTAACCTTTGTTGTTGGGTTAGAATCACAAAGTTGAGTTGCATTTCGTTGGGTTTTATGTGAGGAAGAAAAATGATGGATAAAATCCTCTGATTTTATGATGACGTGGTAGTCTTAGTTTTAACGTATGCTTGCATGTAATCCACCAGTTTCCTTTAAGGCATGTCTTAATCCTGGTCTGTCTGCTGTGTTCCTCGGTCTTCATGATGCTCTTTGCTCACACATGTTCACTGATTTTTTTTTTTTTTAGAAGTATCAGGATAAAGGAAGATAGATACATATAAGATAACACACCTATCTGGTCAGTTTTACTTTTTAAACTCATTTTCATTTTTTATATTTTGTTTATTTGTGATGCGCTACTTTTCCAAGTACATTAGCAAAGTACTCAGTATACTTTGCACTTATATTTTGTTTCATTGCAATCAGTGTTGAGTTCAAACTCACATACACATATCTCATTGCAACTCATTCATTCATTTTCTATTCAGTGCATTTAAATTGAGTTAAATCAATTCAGAAGATTTGGAATTGCCAAAAACAACAAAAAAAAAAAGCATGTGATGACAAGACTTCAAATTTCCCATTTTAAATGTGAACCTCAGAGGGATAATCATTTACACCTCTATCTATATTTTTAGATTGTTTTATCCATTTCTTTTTTTTTTTTGCTCAAATGTTTTTCTAATCACCTTAAGGTGACACTCCAACCCCACATTTTCCACGTGCACAAGTCACGCCATGATTGACAGATGCTAAACCGGCTGTCGTAACTCACGAATGAATGAAAACTTTTCCGTGCATCCCTGACAAATCGCGACGCAAAGTCATGCCCTGTGATGTGCGTGTACGCGTCTGCTCTGGTTCGTACCTGTACTGCTGAGGGCTGAGCGTGGGGCTGCAGCTGCCATTGCTGTTGACCTGCTCCACGGTGGAGCTGACATCGTCGTGGCCCACGTGCAGCATGTTGAGGCTGGCTGCAGACGGAGGGGTCACCAGAGGGGGGCTGTTCAGCAGGGACAAACTGCTCTCTGCCAGAGCCGCCTGCACACACAGACAGACAGATTTAAGTCGAGCTTGATTGAACCATAAGTTTAACAGACAGAAATGCATCTAAAGCCTAACTTAACTGAATAATTAAAGTCACAAGGAATGCAAAGGTGTTTCATTTTTAGAAATCGTCCACAATCAGAGCTCATTTTTATCTAAAGGCCACGGCGAACGTCATTTCAAACCACTAGGGGGCACTTATATACAGTACTTCCAGCTGAAAGAGTTGTTCCCGTAGGTCCCTGTCAAGAAGTGAGTGTGTGTGTGTGCGCGCGCGCGCGCGATCACACAAAAGTCTCAACAGGAATGCTACGAGAAACGGAGCCACAACCTCAGCTTAGACGCAAACATAAGTGCAACATCTGTGTCTGCAGAAGGCAACAACAACAGAGCCAACAAGAGCAGCTTTGGTCCTCATTCTGCAGACTCGCATCCAGACGCTGGATCAGACAGGTTGGACGCCGGCTGAGAGGCTCACACCACCTCCCCTTCTCATGCAGAAAAGGGGAAAAAAAAAAAAAAGAAAGACAAAAGGAATTCTCACTGGCTCAGAGGTGGGTTTTCTGGGGCAGGCAATAATTTTATGCAGTAACCTTAATTGACAACTACTTGACGCTATAAATCATCCCAGTCTCTAAAGTGCATTCGGTGCCTACACCAAGGTGAGGTGATCGAGATGTGTGTGCCGGTTGGAGGTTGGGAGCGTTGCGAGATGGGGCAAGAGAATGGAAAGCTGATGTGGGGGTGGAGGCAGCCGACCTGAGCGGAGTTAGGGAATCGGCTAATTATAAGAGGGAATTGATGTTGGTGTCCTTGATTCAGAGTTTTTATACATTTATCACATCAAAGTTCCTGTGAATTTGTCAAACATTCTGGATATGAGCGTAGAAAACCTTTTCCTTACTGGGTTTGGTCATCTGTACGTTAAAAAAAAAAAAAAAAAAATCATCAAGCAAGACAACGCTCAAATTCTGGTTCCGAAGAGTGATAAAGGGATTTTGAGTAGAAGACCATCACAAAGTAGTGAAGGAGGAGCAAAAGTTTGTGATATGAATATTGTTGAGCAGCACTATAAGAGGGCTCAAAAGTGATACATTTTCCTGTGGGGTCTATGTCAGTAGAGCAAAAACCAAAACAATGAGTATGAAAAAATCCACATTGGTCTCTGATGAAAAGGTAAAAGCTATTTAAATCGAAGTGAAATGCCCGTAGTTTTCAGGAAGCTTTATTTTTCACGTTCTGGATATTAGAAAAAGGACTAAAGTGTGGAGACCTAAATCCTTTTTACACACCAAGTATTTTTTCATACCTATGCAGACTTTGAAAAACAATAAAAGTTAATTTCTTAATTTTCAAGACCGCCGTCAGACATTCCGAGAATGTTGATTATTAACTAAAGGAAAAGAGCCACAAGTGAATGCAAAGCGTTACCTGGTAGCTAGCGTTTAGGGATCCGAAACCCAGGCCTGAAATCATGTTTTTCACCAGAGTGGGACTTCTGCACAGAGCCAGAGACAGAAAAGGGCGGGGGAGAAAGGGGAAACGACGTTAAAGCACAGATTGTGCACACATGTGAAAAGATGTCACCTCAATCAAACACTGTGACAAACCTCCAAAATCCTCCACAGACAGAAACATTGGCGGAGTGTAAACAGCTGCTCGAAACAGACATGTGAAAGTGTCTGATATCTGGCGTGCAGGTGTGTGTGTGTGCGTAATTATCCCCGATGGTTGCGGGGAACATCTGTTTACACACGCTAACAAGGTTTTTCTCCCTCCTTGCATCTCACGCCGGTGCTTACAAATGGTGTCGACAAACAAGAGGAAAAAAGAAAAAAAAAAAAACACGTACGGCGCACGCACATCACAAGCCAGAAGCCTCCTTGCCTCACTTTTGCTCTAGGTAATTTGTGAGTTGGCTTCTGGGTAACATTAGCAGCTCTATTTTAGGCAATCATGGTGCCAACACCCATAGCCTCAAAGTCTCGTCAGCAGCGGCCGGCTTTCGCACTCACCCGGTCATCTTTGGTGGTCTCCTCTTTTGGTATTCGACTTCGTCCACGGTCCACACGGCCCCCTTCACGTTCTCCACGCGAACGAAGCACTTGTGCAGACTTAGGTTGTGGCGCACGGCGTTCTGAAAAAAAAAAAAAATGGAAACAAGACAAAACTTTGTACTTTTATTCACCCATCACTGTGCAGTGCAGGTTTTCCTGTAGCTTCCCGAACAGAGCCCGGTATAAAACGAGCGTTTTCTAGAAGCGTTATTTTATCTGGGATTGTTTCTAATCACTCATCATCAGCACACACACACACACACACACACACACACACACACACCCAGACACCCAAGCAGGAAGGCACACCGCTATCTTCGTCTCAGCCCCCCAGGGACAGGCCTCCCTTTTCATCTGCTATTTGTAGTTTGTTCATGCCCAATTTCATTACCAATTTTAATTCGTCTATAATTAAATCCTGCATATTCTCTCTGACACGCTGTTCTAAGCCGAGAGGGAGGGACAGGCCAGGCGTGCATCACTCTTTGCCGTAATTACACACACACACACACACACACACACACACACACACACACACACACACGCGCGGGCATACACAGAGAGCGGCTAGCACGCACGCGCGTAATTACACACAGCCATAATCAGAGGAGGAACCCTCGCCACCCCACCCCACCCCCTCCTTCACGCACACATCCCCTCAACACCCCCACCCCCCGAGCCGTGATGCTAAGTTTTGTAAATGAGTCTGACCCCAATCTTCGCCTGCCACCCTGACAGTGCAAACACACACACGCGCGCGCACACAACAGCACAAACACACACCAGACACCGGTGCTATTGCACTGTTATTTGCATTCGTCTCCGTGATGAAAGCCTAATTCTCCCAGTTAAAACATTAGCAGTCATTTACAGTGGGTCACAGCACATGTGCCACTCATCTCCACTCCCTTCTGGGCTGAGAGGCGGGGGGGGGAATGGCGAGAGGGGCAACAACAGGAGGCAGGAATTTTAGAGGAAAGCTTGAACAACACACAAGAAAAAATGGAACTGGGTTCATTTGTTTCAGGGTTGTTGATCTTAATTACCACAAGCGAGTGACCATCACAGGAAGTTGGTGATTTGATTGGACTGTGGGATGGACAACGAACAGCACGTGTGTGCAGGTAGAATTAGACATTTATAAAAGGAATGTACAGGTGAGCAAACACCTATGCAAATTTAAGTCAAGCCTGCGTCGATTCTATACGTTTAATAAACTTTCACACTATTCCAAACACAACTTTCCAGAGATTTCAGTCAATTATACCCATTTCAAAATATGAAATACTAAAGTTCACAATGATTTCTTGCAGACTATTTCCACAGAGGGTGGGCTTTAAATGTGGAACCCAGAGGAACATGGAAGAATGAGACGGAAAGAAAGGACACAAAGAAGGAAGAAGACAGGAAAGTAGGAATGAAGAATAGAAAAGGGGGATGGCAATAGGAAGAATAGAACAGAAGAATACAACACAGGAAGGAATAAAGTGCTGCAATTATTAGCAACACTAACAATTCCCACAAAATTAATACAGGTGTTTATTTCCATTTTTAATTTTTGAGTTAACCAGAATATCAATCAATTCTTAATTCACTGAAAAACTGGAGCAGCAAGAGAACACACAATTCAAGTAAGGCACATGTGTGTTGACGTACCTACAACTAATGTTGACCATATATGCACAGTCATCCATACAGACAGACAGACAAGGAAGAAGATAGGAAATAATCTTCGTCCTTCATAATAATTGTGTGTGGTTCTCTTTATATCATTACTTTCCAAATATATCATCTTTGTACACAAGTGGTACTTTGGCAAAACACCTGAGGCTCTTATTTCCTTAAAAACATAAGCTCTACTCCGAAGAACAACTTTAACTGGCTATAATAAGAGTTGAAAGTCTGTTCTCATTTAAGCACACCCCTTCCCTCTCTCTCATCTTTTCCTCGTTTCTGTCCCTCTCCGTCTCCGATTGGCGACTTCCACCGCCTGACACCATCGCTCTGCTCATGAAATATAACGACTTATTAAAGGACATACATCTCTGAGGCCCCATTTGACTCATCGGGCTGCTACATAAATACATAAAGCCATGCCGGGACTATATTTAAAGGTCCTCCAGACGGATGGAGGAGGAAACAGAGCCCGGGCATTAATAGTTAAAATTCATAAAAGTCAGATGAGGGGGTAAAGATATTCCTGGAACCTTTGTCTCTTCACCTCTGCTGCAGCCCTCCTTCCACCGTCCTCCTCATCCCGTCTATGTCAGAGCCAGTTTAAGAAGGCTGCTGTCTTCGCCTCTTATGTTACTCGTCTAGTGTTTGTGTTACATATAAGGTTAAAGGGAAGAAAGTTCAGCGTGGTCACATTGTGTTCATAGTCCACGACACACTTCTCTGTCCTAAGGTGTGGTAGGTGACTAGTGGAGTTTTACTGTCCAAAGAAGGGCATTGAAAAATTATTTATACCTTTAACTCTTTTTTTTATTTTTGCACAAGCTTGAATGTAACTTGTATATATATTTAAAAAAAAAAAAAACATGAGCAGAAAAGCATTTTGGGGTATGTCTCTACTGATTTTGACATTTTACTATGTGGAGACTTAACTTTTTACCTTGGATCTTTCCAAAAAAGCTAAAAAAAAAAAATAAATAAAAGGTCTTGCTATGGATTTTAGGTTTGGACTTTGACTAAGCCATTCTGACACTAAGTCATCAAAGCTTTGGCTGTGTGTTTGAGATCGTTGCTCTACTAAAAGGTGAACCTCTGCTATAGTCTGTGGAGGAGCTTTTTTTTGCAGGTCTTAATCCAGCACTGTGTTTAGCTTTGTACAACTTCCCATTAACTGACCAGCTTCCCTATCACTGCTGGAGAAAAGCATCGTGATTCTGCCACCACTGTTTCATCCTGAGAATAGTGGGGATTTTAAATCAGTTTAATAATGAGCAACAATTAAGACAACTGGTTGAAATGAATTTCATTCAGGGCTGAAAAAGGGGCTGAACAAATTTTAAAGAAGAACGCTTTCCCTCCACTTTCACATTTATTCACCACTTCTCGGCCTGTCACATGATAGTTCAGGGGTTGTAAATACTCTTTCCACTGTGTACGCTGCCGAGGCAAGTTTGGGTCTGAAAGTGAGAAATATTCACAAGCGCAGACCATAATTGCTTTTCAGCGATCCCATTTTAATCAGCCGTGTTGAACGCCACAATTTATTTTTTTGTCAAAATATTACTGCAAAGAAAGCCGCAACCCAAACCTACTGTTACTAAGTGTAGCTCTGCTAATCTACCGCATCATTTAAACAACTTCAAAACAGTTTGGCATTGTGTGATTTACTTTTTCCATCAATAAATACTCCGTTTTAGAGAACAAATTGCTCAACTCCAAGATGATAATAGAAACGATTACGAATGCACATAAAAAATAAACTCAACTTTTTTATCTAAGGAATGTGAGATGAGATAAAAAAAAAAAATAAAAAAAAAACACTATTCATATGACGGCCTTACCTTCCACGTGGCAGTATTTCTCCTGAAATATGCAAACTTTCGTGTAAACCAGTTGTAGATCTCATTTAGAGTCAGCTGTCTGTCTGGGGACTCCAGGATGGCCTGGAGAAAGATGGAAAGATGTGGGACATCAGAGGAGGACGCCGACAGAGGGATTGTGGGGCAGATAAGTGGGCGATGCTTACATGACGTATAAGAGAGGCGTAGGTAAACGGAGGCCTGACATCAGCGTTCTTGTAGAACTCACAGTTTTGAGCGAGCTCTGAAGAGGAAACAAGCAAGACAACAGACTGGATCAGCCAAGAGATGATAAACACTTTTAACACAAGAGTTTAAGGGTTTTGCTTAAGAAATAGTACAAAATAATTAGAAAATAAAACAAGACACTACCTCTCAAAACAATAAGAGATTTCTGAGGCACAAAAACAAAACGCCACAGGAAAGAGGTTCGTTATTGGAGTCTACCTGAGGCAATAGGGGTGCAGTACTTGTCAGAGTTGCGCCGACGTATGGGGCCAACCGGGTGCGTGTGGGAGTGGGAGTGTGTGTGCAGGCTGGAAGAGCTGATGACGGAGGGTCCCTGGCGCAGTGGCGTGATTGGGGTGGCGGCTGAGGTGGGAGGGTGGGGTAGACCCTCTGGGTAGGCCTCGCTGTCCCTCTTTAACAGGGAGCCGCTGGAAGCCAGGTTCAGCTGGAGAGGGACGAGAGGCCGAGAGAATATGTTGGGTTCACATTTAGAAGGGAGAGTTCCTTCTTTTCCCACCACAATCACAAAAACAACACCAAGCTGTGAAGTTCTTTCAGCACAGAAAAGTTACTTAATGGAGCCAAATGTCTGATTACAACTACAAGCTTCTGAATGTGATGAACTAAGATAAAGTATCACTTCATTTAAAATAAGGAAGGGAAATCATACACGGCTTTCAAACTCTTTGTGGAGTCTGCAAATCCGGTAAGAATAACGCTATGCCATTCAAGAGGGAGAATTACCTTTCCAGCAAGATGCGTAAATGGAGAAAAACATTCCCACTGTGAAACACAGTGGCAGCATCATGCTGTGGGAATGCTTTTCTTCAGCAGGGCAGCAAAAGATGCTTCACTTCTACAATGATTTTTTTTACATGCACTATGTGTGGCAGAAAGCGAACACACACATCATCCTGATAACATCGCCACGGTAAGCATGGCGGTGGCAATGTTACATTTCAAGATGCCTTGACAAAACTGATAATATCTCATCGTGTATGGAAATTTAAAGCAGTTTTTTTAAAATTAAATCCTTCTGCCTTTTCAAAACACATCGCCTGTCGGTCACGATGGAAGCTTGTCCACATGTAATTCTTCACTTAGTTCCCTTTATCTTCCTTTGTTAAAATGCAGAAGTGATGCAAATCCTGAGAAAAGCAGGAGTCCTCAATGTTTCAAATGAATCCATCTATTCTAATAACTTCATCGAATGCAAGCTCAGATTAAAAAAGGGGGCCTCAAGCACTTCCTGGAAATTTGGGGCCCTATCAACGGCAGCAAGGATTTGCACTCTCTGAACATGCTCGTGTATTCATACCTACATATTCACACACCCACACACACACACACACACACACACACACACACACACACACACACACATAGCACAGGCTGCAATTAACCCCGAGCTTACAAAAACAAAACCACATGACAGTATGTTTGTAGGAAGGGGAACATACACATGCACTTTGCGGTGGCGCAGCCTTCACGGACCAATTCGGCCCAATTAGGCAGAGCCCGAGACACACACACAGACACACACGGAACCAGTACTCCCAGTCTGGGAGAGGCGTTGCAGGGCTTCTAGTTTAGAACTAATTAAAACCACTGAGTGTGTGTGTGTGTGTGTTGTCTAGATTTATGTAAAATGTGTGAATCACCTCCTATTTCCTCTGACCCCTTCTCCGTACCATTTAAGCTGACTGGAGGGGGGCGGGGCTGTTTAACAGGTACTTCATTAAAGCTGCAACCCCGGCTCATCACCACAGCAACAGTCGAACACTGTTAATTGAGGCCAAGCTTTGTTTCCATTCCTGACGCTCCTCCTCTGCCCCTCCTCCTCCAATCCCTGACCCCGAGGCCCGTCTCCAGTGGTGACAGAACACGCCTCCTTCCTGATTTCCCATTAGATGATAATGGCAGCTGATCCCCTTGTGATCAACACATCATCCAGTCGCACGGTCACACGTGCGCACACACGTCGCCACTCAGCCGCGCTCGTTTATATTCTCGAATTAAGACACTCTGGCTCTAATTGACAATTAATTTCAACATCTTCATATTTTAATAAGACTCCTCGTCAATCTGAATAATGAAATATTCATTAGATTCCTAATAACAGCCTCGCCAACCAACTGCAGTGGATGCACTTTAACGCGCGCAAGAAAGCCGAGCAAAATCCGTCTCGTATTTGGCAGCATTCGGTCGACTTGTAGCGAAAGAGTCGCTTGGAGAAATGGCATCCCAACTTCCACACAGTATAAACAACTATAACAAGCTCAAAGTGTAAGACCCCATTTGTGGTTCCAGAGAAATGTAAGAATATACTTTCAGGTATATTCCTGTGGAATATACCTGAAAGGTGAACAGATGAAAAATGGAGTGAAAGGCAGGACAAAAAGCTTTTTATGATTTAGAAATGCCACATTAACCCTCACTGAACAATAGGGGGCATAGCCACCAAGCAAGAGAGGCACAGACGAATCGTCAAGTCCCATCCAGGGGAAGCGAATGCGTTTGTGTTGTAATCTGGACCGTGGGGTGTCGGCGTGTACTCACAGGTTGGTTGAAAGGTTTTGGCTCTGAGGGGCGCATGTGCAGGTGGGTCATCATGGCCTGAAGTCGCTCGCTCTCCTTCGCCAGCTGCAAGACGCAATCGGAAAAAAAAAAAAAAAATACATGTCATCTCATTTCATTATCCTCAGATTGATTTAATGCGGTGTTGACACAGAATTACAAATACAATTACACCTCAGGCAAAGTGGCGAACATGAGAGCGAGGCGCCTCAGCAACCCGCAGCTCTCTCTCTCACACACTTCCCTCCGGCCCCCGAAAACGCGCTCGCCCCCCGTTTGACTTTGTTAACGGCTGTATAATGCGGGGGTACCGCTGCAGCCTGTGGAGATGCCGAGGCCTCTTTCTGTGTACGCCGTTTATTTTATTTTTTATTTTTTAAGGTCACAAAGTACAATAAGGAACAAACGACACCCGCGACTTCCTCCCACGCTTCGGAGATGTGCGTCGCTGTCTGAATATGAGAAACTTAAACAAAATGCCCGTCCTGTGTCTGGATGTGCTCTGTGTGTGGCGTGGGAGCGGCGGGCGTCCTGCGGACGGCCGCGGGATGAGGCGGCATGTCAAGGAGTGAGAGAGGGAGGGACGGCTGTCCTGATGTGATGTGACACCAGCTGCCTCTCTGTCACTTTGCGTTCCCTGGCTGTGGCTTCAGGGGCTCGGCTAAACGATGTTTACCACTGCTGCAAACACAAAAGCTGACCATAAAACTGGACAGCCCACACACACATACACACGCACATGCACACGCACGCATGCAGGCACACTCAGTTGTGCACAAAAGCCTTCAAACTGGTGTTAACTTTTTGTAGAGCTTTAAATGTAATGTTTTTGCGTGATAAAGTTGAGCTGAGCTCAGCTCTTTCTAGATCTATTCTTCTATGAAAAGCAGGAAATAAGCTCTTACATGAAGGCAGATATGCTTGAAAAATATTTACCTTTATACTAAAAGCACAAACCGTAGTTTTCTTCACAGAAAGGCGTGGCAATATTTCTCCTCAAATGTCAAGTTTGGTGACTGCTGCTCGGTTCAGGCTGTTACTTTGAGTCTGCAGAGACCCGTTATAGACCCGGGTAGGTTTTTTTTTTCTCTCTCTCTCATAGCTTTGAATCTAATTAGATAAACTGAAGGCTTTCTCCTTCAACTTCAAGAAAGATTTTTTTTGAGCAACAGTATTTGCAATTTGCTCCTGGCGTTGGTGTGTAGGAGCCTGTTTGCCGACATGGAGTGAGTCCAGGCCCCGCAGAGATGAACATAATGCTTTCTGCCTTTGCTAAGTCCTGCTCATTAGCCATTGCACAGGATTGAATATCTGAAGAAAACAGCACAGATGTTGTCACTCTGTTGTTGTTTCTGAGCGACAATTTTGCAAGTTGGCATGTTTAGACAGAGCCTGGGTTTTATCAAGCACCAATTTCAACCTTGAAGTGCATTAAAGCCGCTCGCACTTAAAAACATAGTCTAAATGGATCACTTTCAATTTGCTTTTTGGCTGGAAAAGCAGGGAAAATATGTAAATGAGAGCAACTTTACAGCTCGTGTAAACAGGAGAGAATTAAACAGACGTAAGCAAGCTGTCATGATGCTCTGGAGGTCTGTGTTTCTTTAATGCGTCCTTGTGTTTAGTTGTAGCTCCATTGGCTCTTGTGTTTCCCTGCGACTGTTTTGATCACTCATTTTCCCCTCGGTTCCTCTTGGAACATATTTTAGCCGTTCTCCCTCTTATAATTTAAGACTCATTTGGGTGACTCTATCTCCTGCCTCAGTCTAAATCCTATGCGAGCTAACTGCTGCGTGTCACTGTGAACTATATGTTTTTGTTTATTTCATAATAAAAATAATTTATGGAAAAAAACTGAATGGGATCCCGTTCAGAGTGAAGCTGTGCATTTCGTTCAGAGTGTTTGTGCGATGAATGACGTACAAATATCAATTCAGTCTTTGCGAGTGCTGGATTCGGAACCGGACGTAGTTAGAAATGAACTAGCACAACACTGACGACACACACACGCAGACACACACACACACACACACACACACACAAACCTTCAGCTATGCGACTCCTGCATTCAGGAAACTGCAACAGTTTTTTCCACTTTGCCACTCTTCAGAGAACGGTATCGTTTTGATCTTTTCTTTTTTTCTCTGGAGCATTATTCGGATATTTTTTCTGAGTGCTTGCACACGTGAATCGCTAAGAAAGTCTCCTCGTGGCCCAGGCCTCCACGTCTTGCTTGTGTCTTTTCCCTCCCCTCTTCCCCCTCTGGTGCTGGTGACCAGAGAAGCTTTATAATTGGAGCGGCGATGGCAGCTTCCCTGCTGACTGCTCCTTTTAAATTACAAGCTCCGCTGCTCTCCATAAACTCTGCCCCGCCAAAGACGAGTTTCTGCCACTGACAGGCTAGAACAGTCTCCACGACATTGTTTGTGAGCGTATGAAAATTAGGCCTCTATGCGTCAGTGATGGGATGTTATGTTAGTGTTGTGTGTGTGTGTTTGTGTGTGGGACCCACCTGGATCTCCAGTTGCTGAACCACCTGCATCTGGACTCTGCACTGAGCAGTGCTGCGGTCATCTAGGGCGTGCTCGTTGTTCAAGTGCCTGAAGGTAGACAGAGAGAGAGAAAGAGAGAGAGAGAAGAAGAGGATAAATATAACAACTGAGTTTTTCCTGCAAATATAAAACCACCGCTTAAGACTTTTAAGTCCAGAGGATTATTGTCGTATCGGTTCAGGTCTCATGAATGAAGCAGGAAGTAATCTCAGGTGCTTCGATTTTATTTAGACTGAGTTATGAGCTGCTTCAGCGCTGTAAAAATAAATCCTAATCTCAGAGGTTCATTTTGTCTAGCGACGGACGCAGCAGCTGTGCTGTGTGTGCCTGTCTGAGTGTGTGTGTGCGTGTGTGTGTGTACTTCATTGGGGCCACGGTCCAAGACAACCACCTGGATATGAGCTCATATGTTATCTCACACAGCCTTATCTTAAGGCTCTCTGTTAGCAAAACTTCTCTTATTAACGCTGCTGTGTCTTCAGTGTGCGTCGGCGTGTGGAAATGGTGTCGCTGTTTGCTTCCTCGAATCTGGGAGGAATTGGGACCTCCTGATCTTTCCCAGTGTGCTCCTCCCAGTCTTCCTTCTGTCATCGCCAAGGTTATTCACAGGTTGCCGCAGCCTCGGCGGGGAGCGTCGGTACGCAGCGCCTTGCAAACGTATTCATACGACCTGAACTTTTCCACATTTTGTCACGTCATAAGCATATGTTTCAATACGTTTTTACCGATAGGCCAGCGCAAAGTAGTGTACAGTTGAAGAGGAAAGAAAAGTTTACATTGTACATAAAGTGCAGCGGTTTTATGAATTTGCGTTAAATAATGTTTATCCTATTGACTTTAAAACAGCTCAAGCTCAGGAAGTTTTTAGATGATGGACTGATCTCTTCAGAGGTTGGGAACTCTACTTGGCCTTCATGAAACTGTTTATTCACCTCTGTCCACTAACAAATCGCTGTTGACTTCTGAAAACTAAGGAGTCCGCCTGCCTCACTTTTCAGATATTCTCAGAAAAAAACATTGAAAACCCAAGTTAAATTTTTCTTATGTTTCATAAAAGCCGGTTTGCGTTACGGTTTGTGGTTGTGATCTGTGTAAATACAAATCCAAGTGATTTGAATAGTTTCTCACAGTTCTCAGTGTTATTTGTGTTTTTTTTTTTTAACAACACTTTTGTTTTACTCGTGTTTGTGTTTGAGGTGCGTGCCATATTTCTTTGATCAGCGTATTAGTAAAAAAAACTTTTAACGTCTGTAACAGATGGTAATATGGTGTGTGTGTGTGTGTTGTGTGTGTGTGTGTGTGTGAGAACGTCTGAGAAAGTAACAAGTTTTCCAACATGAGGCAAAGACTCGAGATGAAACAAAAACAATGATGTCATGGCACGACTAATCTAGGCAGATAGATGGCTCAACACAAGTGCATGATAATAATAACAAAAACATGAGCTCACCCCCATCTCTCTTTCTCTAACCCCCCCCCAACCCCTCCGTGAAGCCCTCTCTGCCTCTTCGTCACTCACACTTCTGCCCACTCTCTCCCTCCCCCCTCCCTCCTGTAACTCCCCAAAATGCCTATGATTCACGCATATTCCAGCTAACTCTGCCCCTTCCCATTCCCTCTCTCTCTCTCTCTCTCTCTTTCTCTGTTTCTCTATAGCCGGGTCATAAACAGTAGCAGTTTTTTGCTTCTTTTTTTTTTTTTTTTTTTTAAGTTTGTCCGTACAAAAAGGCCTTTGTTTTCCCTTCTGGTTCTGGAAGACAA